CAAGCTGATGACGCTGTTTGGATGTGTGTGTGTGTATGTGTGTGTGTAAGAAAGAGATGACACACCTCTCAACTCACCTCCGAGTCTTGTGTGTGTACCGGTGAGCATATGCAGGACTGAGATGCAGATGCAGACCGGGGTTACATAACAAGTGCCGCGAAAGGGTTGCTGGACTGCTGTTGCTGTGCCAGGTCTTGTTCTTGGATGCCATCCGCATCAAAACTCGCGGCCACAATTCTCTGTCTAGGCGAACATTGATCAGACAGACGGCTTGGAAGGTGTTGGCAAACACGGCGGCCACGGGCGATACAATGAAGCCTACCAAGCACCCTAGTAAGCTGTCGCCTTTGATAGTGGGCGGTCGTCAATCGATTGCGGCTATGCAAACCCATTTGACGTATGTCGCACCTCGAGACAGAGGGAAATGGCGGCAATGACATGCGCGTCCTTCAATGTTTCCGAGCAGCAGCGAGAGGCTGGCAGAAACGGTTGCACTTGTTGATCCATGATTACCGTGCAAGTGTGAGGCGGTATTCATGTCTACATAGTAGATCTGCTGGAGCGTTAAAACTGCCGGCACCGAACTCCATCCGTCCCGGGCAGAGTCAGCTAGGAGGCGCGTCCAATCTTTTTGGCACTCGCCTTCTACCTGAGACACCCCGGACTAGGGACGCTCGATGTAGATCAACGCAATCCCAAGGGGCCAAATGCCAGTCGTTTGCATTCTCGAAGGGACCCATCCCAGGATGGACCATCGACGATCTTTGTGGCCTTCACCCTCCGATTCGCAGCCCCAGAAGCATGAGAGTGGTGACATGTTGGTTGCCGGCAGCGGTGCCCCAACGGCTCGACTGCTCAGCGCGGAGGGAAAAAACAAAAGGATATCGAGGTCGGCGGGGTCAAACACGACAGGCACAGGTGCCAGAGTGCCGCGAATGCAACGGTGAACAGTCAGTAGCACGTACGAAGACGCTGCTCTGTGGGACGATAGGATAAAAGCAAAGCCACAGAAACGTTGTGATGGTGTGAGCAACAAGCAACGTGCCCAAGTTGCAGGAGAGCGGCTTGGGGTGGGGAGACCAGGTGATGGTGTCTTACCACTATGGCATGGGCTTGCGCGGGAAGCCCCAGTGACAGTACCACCTCTAGCTCCTAGCACCCATCTTAGTGCTTAGGGCCGACGTGAGGTGCATTATCATGCCAGAGTATTGGTCCCTGTTGCGAGTACGTAACGCTTGATTGTCCGGTTTGCAGGTACTGTGGACTTTAGTTTTCGTTTTGTTACCCAGTTTTTTAGTGTTCTAAAAAGAGATTTTTTTTACTAATAAGCTTTAAGGTATTAATAGATTTTCTGCCTATATTTAGCCTTATCTCCTAAGGTTATAAAGAACCTTAAGGGAAAGGATTAGTATAACTATAACTAGCTAAGCTAAATAAAGATTATAGTACCATAACTTTATCCTTATTACATATACTACTCTTAGTATAGCTAAGATATTAATAACCTTTAATCTTAATTAATATAATATTACTAATATATATAATAATAATATTAATAACCCTAATTATACTTTAAATCTCTATTATTATATTAGTTTCTAATTAGATTTCTTTAATTACTACTTTAATTTTTAAAAAAGTATTAATGTTTTAATAATAAATAACTTAAATAATTACTAAAATATTTAAATATATTTCCTAAGTATTTATATAGCTTTTTTAAGTATTATATAATATAAAATAGTAATTTATTAAACTTAATAAAACTTTAAAGTTATACTAACTATTATTAATAATAATATTCTATACTAAGTATTAGATATAGCGTAGTTAAATACTCTAAGAACTTTAATATAGTAGATAGCTCTATTAACTAAGATATAGTAGTATTAGGCGTAGGAGGATTTATAGTAGTGTAGCTATAAGTACCCTATTAATTAGTCTCAAAAAGTCTCCTTTTTTTAAACTACGCAGCTTACATAACGCAGTTACCTGGGGCCGAGGCCCGCAGGCAGCAGGTACTGTGGACAGTGATGCGTGTGCTGAGAACCCGACCTGGCCGTCTGTATCCGCATCGGCTTCGGCGTCGGTGGGCCGGAGGGGAGGGGAGCGGCGGGGGGCTGAACTGAAATGCACGAGACCGAAGATGGGATAGGCGAGTTTGTGGGATGGCATTTGGACCCCTGGAGCGGAAGGGCCAGCATTCATGAAGACGATACTCGTGCGTGCGGGCAGGCCTGTATCTAAGACGCAAACTAACCAAGCCAGCCCGCAGCCCGAGCCCAGGGAGACAGACGGGAGCAAACTTTCCCATGTGGCCATTCCGGTGCCAAACTTCGGGCTGTCGTTTCTGTTCTCTCTCCCTTGGGTCTGGAAACACGTTCCGGACAATCTTCTATCTTCATATCTACGTCAGAAGCCAAAGTCAAAATAGACAATGTTCAAAAGAGCCTTTCCCTTGATGGTCCGGTAGGGTAATTACATACGACGCAGGGGAGCTCGTACAAGGGGATGAGATAAGAAAGGAAGGCCCCGAAGAGAACAAAAACAGCGTAGACGAGTAAAGGCATGTGCTGAAGAAGGGGCTTGTTTGTACATAGGTAGCAAGGCTTCTGTTTTGCATAGCATCATCAGAGTGCTCCCAAAGGAAACGGGATGAGAGACACGAGGCGCAAGGTAGGGCAGGTGGAACTTGGAAGAGGAGAGGAGAAGGGTCCAATGCGTTGAAGTGATGCGATGCTTGCCTCTAGAAAATGGAGACACAGGCTGTACTGCGTACTTGTGCCTGCTGGCTGCAGACCAGACCGCAGCATGTGGTATTGCTTGCATGACCGTTGCGACGGTGATTTTCGTCCTGTGCTTCTTACTTTCTTTTTTCTCAAGCTGCCCATCCATCCGTCCGTCCGTCCGTCCCTTTACCTTTTTCTGCCTCCCACCGTCGGCAGGCCCCAGTTGCTATCACTCTGCCTCCTGCCTGACGACCAACTTAAGGTGCGATAGAAGTACATTTCGGGTTGTATTGATCCATGCGTTGGTTTGTCGGCGGCATCCATGGATAGAGCGGAGGAGAGGAGAGGTGAGGAGAGAGGAGAGGTGAGGAGAGAGGAGAGGAGTAGGGGGAGGAAACATGTGTACACAGGCAAGCAGATAGACTGATGGATCGGCCTCAGAGGAGAGACATAGCGAGAGGAGGAGAGGTGGACGATGACAAGACTCTAGAAAGCATGTCGGTGGATTCAAGTTACACTTGCGCTGAGGTGTCCATACTTGCACTTGCAGTGGAAGTTGTTGATTTGTTTCCAGCGGATGGAGAGAAAACCTCCGAGTGGTCCATCAGCGCGGCCCCTCGCGGCGGCGCCCCCGCCAGCACCAGCCAGCACCAGCCCGGCTCAGCCCAGTCCTTTCCGCTCCGTCCAATGTGTGAGGCGTGCCCTGGTGCGTGAGGTGCCCAGGTGAGGCGGGGTGCTGCTTCCAACTGTTCAGGAGGGCCGGGCTGGTGCCAGCTGCACCGCGCTCTTGCTGTGCAGATGCTGGCAACTGAGGTGGATGGCGGGCGGGACGGGGGACGGGGAAGGAGCGAGCCCCTTCCCCCTGCTGCCTCGAACCTTCCCACCCACGACGACCTCGATTCTTTACCTGGCACTGGCACTGGCACTGGCACTAGTATCGTCCTTTGGTGGTTTGCTCCCACCCCAAAAAGTCACACACCCGACTCCCCGACTCCCTCGCTCGTGTTTTAGCGAGTCCGCTAGCTGGAAAGAGGCCTAGGCTGCCTTGGGTAGAGTTACGTGGTGTCGCATACAAACATGGCGCCTATTGCATGTATCGCTACTGGGTCTGTCCCAGAAGATCCCGGCTCCATTGGTCAGACCGAGCCCCTTCCCCGCTTAATCCGACCATCCACGGCCTGACCACTTCCACAGGCAAGAGGCCAGTACCTACCTACCTACAGAGTACCTCAGGTGCGGCAGGTGTGGTGCCTGCTTTGGAATGAGGTGGTAGGCAAGGTACCTACCACAGGCTGCCCGTAAGGTGCCGTCGGCCGCGACGCGACGGGACCACTGCCAACTGAGCTGCTCTCTGCTTTCTGCTGGGCCGGGGCTCGGCTTGGACTGGGCTGTTGCCGACGTTGACCTTAGGCAAGAGGTGCTAAGGCAAGGCAAGACAAGACAAGAGGAGCGAGCAGGGTAGGTAATGAGTGTGACTGTCAACCATCATCACAAAGGGCCACCCTGCGGCGTGAACTTTAGCGTGTGCCCTTCTCTGGACTTTTTTTTTCTTTCTGCCCTCGTGTTTTTTTTTTTTTTTTGGTTTGGCGACGACGACAACGACACACAAGGCCCAGTATTCCGTACGGCCAACGGCACTGCGCTGCGAGCTCTGTCCCTTAGGACAAGTCAACTGCGATTCTCGCTCCCCCCCCTCGCCTCCGCTTCTCCATCGTCAGTCACGTCGACTCGACCAACTTCTTTCCTGCCCTGACCCCCTTCCGGCACGAAACGTTGAAGGAGTAGCCAGCTAGCCGCCAACACCTCCGGCCCTGCGCTGCATCACCAAACGACGTCTTGACGTCGAGCGTTCCTTTTCCGATTTCCGAACTTCACCTTGGCTTTCGATTGTCCAACGAACGCTCGCTGCTTGGTGGTGCCGCCGACTACCTTCGTCCACCGTCACCCACCCCCGACTGAACCTCGCAACTCCTGGGTCAGCGCATCGCCAAATACTGGAGCTTTCTCTCGCTTCCCGCGCACCGAGACTGCCCGCTTCGATTCTCGTCATGTCTTGTGGTCTGGCTTGTCTGTAGCCTTGGCCCCTTGCCGGACAACCTGGCTTATTTGGTGTCGCCGAGTTGAACCAATTCTCGACCACGCCGCAGCCTCCATATTCTTTCGCCCACATTTCGCAACAACACCCTTCCAGACAGTACTCGCTCGCCGAGACGATTCAAACCGGCCAATGGTATCGACACAATCGGGGATTCTGCCCACCAACTTCCAATCATGGACCCTCAACCCAGCATGCTGGCACCCCCGGCCGTGACCAATCTCCGGTCACAAGCCGGCGCCATGGAACGCACCCTTAGCGAAGACATTCGAGAAGAACGAGAAGAACTACGTGAAGCTGCCGAGCAGACTTTGAACGTTATCGTCGACCTCAACCTCGACGGTACAATCCGATGGGTTAGCCCGTCATGGACCGATGTTATCGGAACCCAACCCGAGTCGGTCAAAGGATCCGCCATGGCCGATCTGATCGTGAGCGACAACAAGACTGTCTTCGCTGATACTGTCGAGTGTATGAAGAAGGATGATTCGCGGAGTCAGCGAGTGCGCTTCGCCGTTGCCATGGGCCCGCTGTCCAAGCTGCTTCCGCTGGAAGACATCCCAGAACTGGAAACTGACGATGCTGAAGAGTGCGCGCCTGCTACGATTGACCTGGAAGCACAGGGGATAATGGTCTACGACGGAGTGTCGGGGGGAGAGAGCCACGTAAGTACACTCTGCTGACAGCTTGAGCTTCTGTCCTGCTGACGACTTCGCGTCCCAGACGATGTGGATGATCCGGCCGTACATTGCGCCCCGAGAAATCAAGATCGACCTGCCCGCCGTCATCGTGGACTCGCTTGGCTCTGGTGCCGAGGTCCTTGCTAGCTACTTGACGCAGCTGGCAGAGTCCGGGGTCGACGATCCCGAGAATCATCCACCACCGCTGCCCGTCCTTTGTCGTATCTGCGAGCGCCAGATCTCGCCATGGTGGTTCGAGAAGCACACTGACCTTTGTTTGCAAGAGCATCGGGCAGAGATGGATGTACAGATGGCTCAAGACAGCTTGACCGATCACCGACATTCGATCGTCAAAGTCCTCGACGCCCTCGAGGCTAGAAAGAGCCGGTCCCTGACGGGAGATCAGTTGACACTCCCCGCAGCAGAGTACAAGGGCATGCTGATTGGCCCTCCCCCGTCGGCATCGTCATCCCCTGGAAGCTCAGTGTCTCAGTCGAGGGAAAGGTCTGGTGGTTTTGGTCACTCCCGAGCTCGATCTTTTGCCATCAGACGCCCCCAAGCAAGAATTGTGGAATTGTTGCTCGATCTTTGCGATACGGCCATTGAAATCAGCACTCCCGCAGTCAAGGAGGCCTCGTCTCAGAACCCTGGCGAGATTAGGACACAATCACCACAGTCCGAGTCTCGCATTTCCCAGGTCATGCAATGGCAATCACCCAGTACAAACACGTTGGAGCAGGAGCATGGCCTTGCACTTCTGTGCGCTGACACCGAGAAGGCTGCCAAAACCAAAGTCGAAGCCGTGTTCCGACATCGCAAGATCATCGAATACGCCGAGCGCATCAGAATTGAATTCGCTGTCATCGTCCAAGACTGTATTGATGAGGCCATGCGCAAAGCTGCTAGGATTGCCGCTGGGCGCCTTAGCGACTCGACTGAGGACGAAGAGGAGGAGGGAATTAATCCTGCCCAGGATGAACTATTTTTCCAAGGATCATTCGAAAACTCCTCTCTTGCTGCCGCCCTGCAGAATGTCAGTGTAACCGACAGTCTCGAGAGACCGCGGCCGACCTCCTTCGTGGAATCCACCCGTTCGAGCAGCCCTAGGGAGTGCCCGACGCCGAGATCCAACCTAGGAGGCATCAACCCCGCTGTGCCTGCCCGTGAGTCGAGGCGGGAATCCTTGCTGTTCGAGAGCGACAACGGGGACAGTGATGGAAGCATCAGATCTTCATCGGTGGCCTCAAGACAGCCGCCTCGGACCGACTCGCCGATTTCCGAATTTGGAGACCTTCGTCGCGCTGCCAGCGCTCGACAGCATCATCGCCGGAGTATCATCTTACCTGGAACATCGTCACCTCGACGACAAGAATCGCCTTCACGCAACAACCAGCCGTCGTCTCCTCTCAGGATCATGAAGCCAAGAAACTTCCCCTTCCCACCGGATGGTATCACCTCTCCTGAAGCTTCTCCGCTGTTGCCAACTAGCGAGTTCAGCTCCCCTGCTCACCTGCCAATCAACCATCACCGCAGGCAGTCGTCAGCCGCCATGTCCGAATTTGTGATGAAAGGGCCTCCGTCCCCAAGAATGACAGCCCATCAGCCTCCGCCACAGGCACGGCCTGCACCCCCTTCAATCAAGGATTTCGAGATCATCAAGCCGATCAGCAAAGGTGCCTTTGGCAGTGTTTACTTGTCCAAGAAGAAATCGACTGGCGAGTACTTCGCCATCAAAGTTTTGAAGAAAGCAGACATGGTCGCGAAAAACCAAGTTGGAAATGTCAAGGCTGAGCGCGCCATCATGATGTGGCAGGGGCAAAGCGAATTCGTTGCCAAACTGTACTGGACATTCTCGAGCAAGGACTATCTGTATCTTGTGATGGAGTACCTCAACGGTGGTGATTGTGCATCCCTGATCAAGGTCCTCGGAGGTCTGCCAGAAGATTGGGTCAAAAAGTACTTGGGCGAGGTCGTTCTTGGCGTGGAACATCTACACAGCCGAGGCATCATTCATCGCGACCTGAAGCCCGACAACCTCCTTATCGACCAGAAAGGTCACTTGAAGCTGACTGATTTCGGACTGTCTCGCATGGGTCTTGTTGGCCGACAGAAGCGTGCTCTTGACAGCCAAAACGGAGATCCCACGCCTGACTTGCTCAAACAGGGGCCTTTCGCTCGCTCGGCATCTTTGGCATCATCACGATCTACTTCGCTGGACCTCCACGGTCACGCTCATTCCCCGAGCATGACCCCGCAGATGACACCCGACACCGGATCCAGCACTGGGCAGCCTTCATACTTTGCTCTAGGTGGCTCAGAGGCCCGTCGTGTCTCCAGCCACCGCAGCGATAGCGGTGGCAGTGAGACCCTAACCCGCATGCTCAACAACTTTTCTTTGAACGAGCAGGATCCGAACTCGCAAGCTTCCCACCCGCAGCCGGCCCACGACGAGGGCAATGATGGCACTGGACATCCATCTCCTGACCCGCCCCAGCTCCACCACGCTAGCACACAGTCCAGCGTTGACTTTCTGGGCAAGAGCACTCCTCCGCAGCCCTCAATGATGCCTCCCCCGATGGCCCTCTTCGACCCTGAAGACACGAATCGTCGCTTCGTCGGCACACCCGACTACCTTGCGCCCGAGACCATCAAGGGCGAGAAACAAGACGAAACCAGCGATTGGTGGTCTGTCGGTTGCATTATGTTCGAGTTCCTCTACGGATATCCTCCTTTCCATGCCGATGAAGCGGAGCAAGTTTTTGAAAACATCTTGGCTCGGAGGATTCAATGGCCGGATGAGAATGAGTGCGAGCCTATTTCCGAGGAGGCCAAGGACCTCATCAACAAGCTGTTGTGCATGGAACCGCAGTCACGGCTGGGTGCTAACCGGGAGGATAAGTTCCCGTCGGGTGGCGATGAAATCCGAGCCCACTCCTGGTTCGACGGCATCAATTGGGAAACTCTCCTCCAAGACGAGGCTCAATTTGTGCCTCAGCTTGAGCACCCCGAAGACACCGAATACTTTGATGCTCGCGGAGCCGTCCTACAGTCCTTCGCTGAAGAGATGGAGGACCAGATGTCGCCCCCTGTTTCGAGCACGGCTTCGGACTATCCCGACCGACCTCACGATGCCCTGTCCCGCGTCCGGTCCCAAGTCAATTCCATCAAGCGCAACCTTATGCCGCTCCACATCCCTCCCCACGTCAGAGACTTGAAGAGTAGACGGCTTAGCGAGCCTGTCGTTGCCGATGATTTCGGCAGTTTCACCTTCAAGAATCTTCCGGTGCTTGAAAAAGCGAACAAAGATGTCATCCAGAAACTTCGCGCGGAGGCACTGGCATCTCAGAGCAAGCCGACCGTCATCAGCCCCGGCGGTAGCGTCGCATCGCCCGGTCCGGTCCTTGAGGGTAGCCCTGTTCTTGCGAACCCGGTCCAAAGAACAATTTCGAACGCAAAGAACCGGCCTCAATCACCTTCTGGACTGAGCCACGCCGCCTCCTCTCCAAGCAGGGCCTCTCAGCCGTCCTCGCCGCTTCTGGTGTCTTTTGTGGCTGGCCAAGGAAGCGAGGGTAGACGTAAGGCATCTAGCAACTCGTCAAACCTTTCGCAGCAGTCAACCGCTCCGCATCAGCCGGCCTCCCTTGACATACCACGGGTTCCGCCAAGCTTGCAGAAGGCGGCTACGAGTGCGGCCGCGTCTCCAGTGAAGGGCCGGGGCGCTGCACCGCCGCCGCCCCTCGCCCTTTCGCCGCAGAAGATGGTCTCGACGCCTCGACAGGCTTCAAGCAGTCGATCAAGGTCATTGACGGTTGGTTCACAATCCAATGAAGGCAGTCCAATCACGTCAGAAGTATTGGCGCATCACCGCAATCGTCGCAGCCAAGTATTCGACATGTCTCCATCCTCATCGGACAACGAGGGCGACAAACACAACGCCCTTCTCCGCGTGCAACGTCGTCGTCAAAGCTCCCGACGTCTCTCTCAGATTGCGTTCGATGGAGGACCAATGTTTCGGCCCTTGGACGTCTTGATTTGTGAAGATCACCCCGTCTCTCGCATGGTCATGGAAAAGCTTCTGGAGAAATTACGCTGCCGGACCATTTCTGTGGCGAACGGTTCTGAGGCCGTGAGATACGCCATGAGCGAAATCAAGTTTGACATCATCTTTCTGGAGTACAGGTTGCCTCAGATCAACGGTGCGGATGTGGCTCGTATGATTCGGGAGACTAAAAACACCAATTCTCACACGCCCATCGTTGCCATTACAGCATACCTCAAGGAACTTCAAGCTCCTCACTACTTCGACTCTTTGATTGAGAAGCCCATCTCGAGCTCTAAGCTGACGGAAGTTCTTAAGAATCTCTGCCAGTGGAAGCCAGAATCACCTGGGATGAACTATTCCATGTCTTTGTCTCTTCCTCATCCGATCCCATCCGGCCTGCGACAAACAAGCTCACGAACTGACGATAGCCCAACTTCAAGCTCCTCGATGTTCGCAGGCCGTCCCGGCAGCAGCGTAATAACGTCTAGCCGCGAAGACTCCATCAGTTCTAGCCTGTTTGGGGACTCTGAGTCGGTATCTACGGATGATGTGCCTGTAGTTGTCAGCAGGAAGGCAACTGGAGACTGGGAGGAAGGCGGGCTGGGCATTAGAGAGGATGAGATGACGCAACTGAGCAACTCTCCGAAGTCTTTGCCGCATCTCGTGACGCAACAGTCTGCGCCAGGTCAGCTGGAAAACACCCGAATGGCGATACCTCCGCATTCTGTTGAGAAGCTGAAGGCCAGAAAGGAGCACATGGAGAAGAGACACGCAGAGGGCACCGACTCGGCCGATGACGAGGACGAGGAGCTTGGTCTGGGTCGCGAAAAACACTTTCGAGGAAAGCCGCTGCTACCTAGCTCCAAGCTGGGTATCGAGATGATGCGGGCCGACAGCCACGACAGCGTTACGATTGGCTCTGAAAGCACACCCGAGCCAATCACCCAGGTCGTGACACCCTCGAAAGAAGTGGACATGCCTTCCTTCGAAGCTTTACAAGACAACGCTACCCGCACGCCACCTGACAGTGGAGTTAGCTCCGAGGACAAGACCCTGGTGCCCGACGTCGACGAGACACCTAGGCCGACAAACCGAGAGGACGTAGCGGACGAGGAGCCCACACCTCGACCCTTGGATAGGGCCGGGTTGTTGGGTACCAAGTAAAGAAGGCAACCGCTGGAGAAGGTCGCTCACATTTATACACTGTTGAAGCTCCAAGACGAACGGGCAACGCAGTAACCAACAAATACGAAACATTTTTTTTCTTCCCCTTTCCATTTTCCTCAATCGTTTTCCGACAGCGAGGCGTTACGTGGGGACAACAGCGACACGCAGACTGCATCTTTTCCTTGAGTTGAAACTGGTCGGGATGGCTTTGGCGTTCATCGGTTTTAATGGGGAGGCAATTCTCAAGTCCTCGAAGAAGAAGGGACCGAGAAGGAGGAATCAAACGACGGAGGAGGGTTTCCTTTTTTTTTTTTTTTGGTATTACCGTTTGCAATGCAGTACGTATGTGAGGAAGTTGCATTGCCTCGCAGGCCTACCGTCATTGGTCTGCACAGATATTCTTTGGCGAACACTACGCACCACCACCACTTTGGACTGTTTTCTCATTTTCCTTTTTTATATTCGTTCTGTGTCTATACAATCTAGGCTTTCTCCTATCAACTGCATCGGTTTACGAAATGGTCTGGGCGGGAGAGGATTTCCAGGCGGCACTGCCAAGTTGCGTTCCGTGACGATGGACGCTCGACCAGGCTCTGAACGGAATGACGGCTCGGCTTCAAAGTATTTCAATTTGACGCCAATGTGCCAAAGAGAGGAGAAGGCTTCTTCGCTTACCCGTTTCATTTTTTATTTCTCCTGTCTTCCGTTTGGGTCACTGTTCTTGGTCGATTCGGCCATAAAAGTAGGGGGAGTCAAGGCTGAATCAAAACAAAAGCCCTCTCAAAAAAGAAGACTGAATACAGATATTGTCAGACTGCATGCACTTTGTTTTTGCGCTCCGTGGAGTGAGTATACTCTTATCTCACTGGCCGCTATAGGCTCTGCTTTGCGACCGGTGACTTCTAGGTAAGGAATAGCAGATGTACGATATTGGTGACGAAACACAGTCTTGGCATTTCTCCTAGGTCAAGTCTGCGAGCACTGTGAGAAGTAGACAGACTAGCAGCTCTACCACAACGATGACGGCAATTATGATTGAACGGGTGGCTGAGCGTGTCACGGATGACACTCAGACGTTTGCCATTGAGGGTTGGATACGGACAAGGTTGGGAAGACCTTGGAGTTGACTGTCTTGGCGATGAGGTGAAGAAGCAGCAGCGTGGCAAGAGGGGGAGGAATTGCTTAGGCCCCCCCCTAACCCCCCCCCCCCCCCCCCCGACCCCACGATTCAAGATACGTCATGATCTCAAGGCTGTACCGCAGTACGTTTAGTCGTCCGAAGTAAAACAGAGTTGGCTGCGCGTCAAGGGGCACACAGCACGGACGAGTGTGGTCCGGTCCGTCTCCTCCGCTTCGGCGTGCGCCAGCGCCTCCGCGGGAAGGGTGAGTGAGGGGACAGGATACGGATAATGGCGGTAACCATGCTCTCTTCCGAGTTTCAGCTGTCTGTATTCGGATGGTTCACAGAGCTTCTTGTTGGTCTGGGCAAGAGAATGACGCAGCAAAGAGGACAGTTCCATTTCCCGAGGAGGACAGTCTTGGAAAGAAAGAGGGAGAGGAGTCAGATATCACAAATATTCACAAAAGCTTTAGCGGAATGCGGCCGGCACCACCCTCGTGATATGTCTGGACGACTAAGATCAACGACCCGGGTTGAAGGTGCAATTGGGAGGGGGGCGGTTAAGGTGTTCGGGCCAGAGGGATGTCGACTTATTGGGTAGGAGGCGGAGGAGGAGGAGGAGGAGGAGGAGGAAGGGCAGGCTGCACGACAACACAACAGACGAGACGAGGGGTGTGGCGGCGACACGCAGAGGGCAGAATGCAGCGGCCAAAATAGAAGCCTATACAGATGCAGTTTGCGGAGAGCAAGGAGGGAGGCGGGGACTGAGTTGTATGATGCTGCTGCTGCTGCTGGCGGCCCTCTATTCACAATGGTGGTGGTGTTGAGGGTTTGTAAAGTTCGGTTCATGCAGCCATTGGTTCAGGAGTGACTTTCATCCTATAAGCAGCAGCACTTGGTCTGTGTTCTCTATGTCTACCTCATGTGCCTTACTAAGTACGTATACCGACGGAGTTATTTTTTTTTTTAGAATTGTTTATTTTGCTGCTCTGCGTGTTTTGAGCTCGAGTCATTTCAGAGTTGCTGGCAGTGAGTGAGGCTCTCGTTTATTGTTATTGCATGGCACACAGAGAACAATAGCCAGCAGAGGACGTCCGTCTTTCGGTCCATCGGTCGGTCGGTTATTCGTACGGGCAATGGGCATGCGTTCAAAAAAGCTTTGCCAATGTGCGTGGCTTGGGAAAATCAGTCAGGCTTGGCAGCTTGGCGGGCGAGAATGAGGAAAAGGAGCACGCGAGCAGTTGCTGGCAGCGGTTAGCAGCAGAAATCGCAACTCTTGGCGATGGGCTTGGTATGCGGGACGGCCATGGGTAACGTCGGATTTTTCCCTCACGGCGCAGGAATTCCCGTACGATGGCGGCGCGAGTTTCTGCGACGAGGAAAATTGATGCAACGCGGGCTCAGTGGTCGATAGGCCATGCCGGAAGTGCGGGTTTGCTGGGAGTCAATAGATCTGGCACGTTTTTGTTTTACGGGATGTGATTGGCTGATCTGTGACAGCTCTGTTTCGTTGTCCCGTTCGGTGGTTCGGCGGCTTTTGGCTGAGATCAGTGATGAGGACGTAATTCCTTTAAGCTCGCCCTGGCGAGTGAGGGGCGCGGCACGGTGGCAGCAAGGTGGATCTTTGCGCAGCTACGGATACCTAGGTGAGCTAGGGGTGGGTAGCAGCGGGGCCATGCCTGCATTTTCTATGGGGAAGAGAAGGCACTTGGAGGTGAAGAACGACGGCCGGAGGCGACGAGGCAACGGGCTGATTGGTTCGATGGCCGGAGCTGGCCTTTTTTTTTTTTCTCTTCCTTCTCTGTGCGTCGCGTGCAGGGCGACTTTTCTGGGGTGGGAAGGGAAAGAGGGAGGAGGAGGAGGAGGGGGCAAAGCGGCCAGACCCATTGGAAAGCCAATGCCAATGCGAATGCCAATGTCAATGCCAGTGGCACTGGACTGGACTCGCTCGGCTGGGCTTGTTTGGCGAGCTACCATTGCTGCAGGACACCTTTGTTTTTGGATGTTCTGCTGCAAGGCGGTCTCTATCTGCAGCCGCAATTGGCGGGGCGAGTCAGGAGGACAGTTCCGACGAGCACCGTGTCAACCTGTCGACCTCGGCCGGCGGAGAGAGCGGCGTGGATGGGATTCCATTGTTTGGGAGAAATCGGAGATGGGAGGAGGCCTTATAGCATCTGGGGTGGCCTGGGTATATTCTGGGAGGTTTCTAAAAAGGAGGAATGTTGACGGGGACTGCCTTGCCTTGTTGGTTGCTTGGTTGCTGGCGAGGTGAAGTGAGCTTCGGTCTAGGAAATGGCAATCAATGTCATTGCGGTTACTAAGGCGGGTGAGAGATGCAGGTTGTCTCATACTTTGCTTCTATTGCTTACAGACCGTCAATGCTGTGCCTGAACTGGTATCTGTACATCGACACCTACCTGCCTAAGGTTGATGTGGTCTGTCGTTCCTGCCCGTGCGAGTGCAAGTCAAAAGTCCAGTCAGGTAAAGTCAAGCAAGGCCAACCAGGTGACGTAAAGCTAGTGCGCCCCGCCGTTTTCGGGTTAACCGCAGCTAGTCCCTGTATCATTTTTCTTTCATTCTTTTTTTTTTTTTTTTTTTCCATTTTCCCCTTCTCTGCATCTATGTTTTTTCCCGTAGCCGTCAAAGCATGACATCGGCCGCAGCGAGAGTGCCGATGGGGTCGGTCCGTCTATAGTGTCAGTCGACGGTCCATGGAGGGCGCGCCGAGTCAACCTTTGGAGCTATGGCGTTCACTGGCTGCCGGGCGCCATCAACGGTGTCGTGTCGCCTCCTACCTCATCCGGTCCAGCTGCCCTGGATTGGATCTCTTCTAGTCCACTTGATCACACTACCATGTGGAGTCGCGCGTCCGACGTGAGTCCATCCGCGACGCCAAGCCAAGCATGCACCAAGCCAAAACCAAAGGGTCCCTTCGTGATCCTCGTTACCTCTTGCCCTTTTGCCATTGAGTGCCATCCCATGCCATGTCATGGATCCCGGCCCAACCCCCAGTGGGGTGTAAGTGGGCGGAGTGCCACACCCTCCTCATTCTCACTCTTCCGCCGCTCATCCACATCCACATCCACATCCACATGGTCCGCCATCGCTCCAATGTCCCCCGTCCATTCGGGTGGTATTTTCTGGTCTCTGTCCAGCCCAAAGCCTTAACACACATCTCACTTACTGTTATCGCCTATATCTCTCGGAAATCACCTTGCTTTTGTCAATCTCTGACGACTAGCCGCCTGACTCCTCGGTCACCCAACCTGGTAATAGATTCGACACTGCGAGTCGGCCGAGTCTCCAGAGCTCCAACACCAGACATCCAGAACAGGGGACCAGTCGGCACATCACAGAACCGTTGGCCCGCTGTCTGCCAAGCACGGGATCCAATTCTCAACGCACACTGGCTAGAGCCGGCGTTCGCCAGTTTCCACCAGGCCAAGACCATATTGCTGGACTCGTGAGGCGAGACAAGAGACATGCCCATCTGAAGACACACACACACACAGAACCCACCCCCATCCCGGGATCTACTTTGCTTATATCTGCTCCCGTCCCTCTTGGCCCCCCTCGACCGCGTCTCTCTGTTCCTCTTCTCGCCGTGGCCAACTACCTCCTCTCCTCCTCCCACCCCCTTCCTGCCGAGCCTGCTTTCTTTAGCAAAGCAAGGAAGCATTGACCAGTGAACCTTGTTGTCGAGGTTCCATCCCATCGTCTCAAGGTTTTGCTTTTGTCTCCCCGCAACTCCCGGCAACACATCTATCTGCATACCTATATCCTACCGCCCGCCCTGTCCGCGACACATCAGCGCACCGTCGTTGTCGAAGCCACCCGGGTCGTCTTCAGTCAATTCTCTCCTACGACCCAAGGTAGCGACCGTCTTTCATAATGACGACCCATCACCAACGCCATTCCGCTCCCATCGGCGTCATTCCCGTGCCCCACGGCCCCGAGACGGGCCAGGAGCATGAGGATTACCCCCGGGAGCACACCACCGAGTACGAGCGCCAGATCTTCGGCCACGTTACGCGCCCTGACGATTCATACACTCCCGAGGGCACCTACTGGGCCGACCTGCCCTTCTGGCAGCGTGTCAGCTTCGTCAGCAAGGTCGACCGCGATGAGGCCGCCAAGGAGCTTAAGGCCACCGGCGAGATGATGAAGAAGGATCCTCTTTCGCCTCTTGGCTGGTATTTCCGCAATGCTGTTCTCCCCGGTGCCGGTCTCGGTCTCGAGGGTTATGTCCTGTTCTCAATTGGTAACCTGGAGCCTCTTTTCGCTGCCGCCTGGCCTGAATGCTGGGGCAAGTCGCATTCCGCCTGCAGTCAAAATTGGGTCGCCTCTGTCACTTACCTCGAGATTGTTGGAATCATGATTGGCCAGGCCGCCGTCGGTGTAAGTAATTTGTGCTCTTCCCGCACACAGACAAAGTCTAACAACACATCAGGTCATCGGAGACTGGATTGGCCGCCGTTGGGGTCTTATTCAGGACGCCGCCATCATGTTCGTCGGTCTGCTGCTTTTGACTGGAAGCTGGGCTAGCTCTCTCCAGGGCTGGGTCATCTTCTACGCCTGGTCCCTCTTTTTCTACGGTTTCGGTGTTGGCGGCGAATACCCCATCACCGCCACCTCCTCCATGGAGAACTCAGTTACCGCCGGCCGCCTTTCTACTCGCGAGGATCGTCTTCACCGTGGCCGCAAGGTCACCATGGCTTTCCTGATGCAGGGCTGGGGACAGTTTGTTAACCAGGTTGTCCTTATCGTTTTGCTCGTTATCTTCAACCGCGGTTACGGCGATGGTCCCTACTCGCAGACTGCCGCTCAGTACACTTTCCGCCTGTCCTTCGCCTTCCCCGCCATTGGTACTCTCTGGCTTGTCTACTACAGAATCTGGAAGATGCCTCGTGCGAACCAACAGCTCGCACTTGCCAAGAAGAAGCAGGGCGTTACTGGCTACGACATCAACGCCCTCAAGTACTGTTTCCGTCACTTCGGTGGCCGTCTGCTCGCCACCGCCGGTACTTGGTTCTGCAACGATGTGTTCTTCTACGGCAACAAGCTCTTCCAGAGCCAGTTTATCTCTGTCATATCCAGCAACCCCGATTCCCTATTGACCAAGTGGACTTGGAGCTTGATCAACGTTGTCGTCTCCCTCGCCGGATACTACCTCGCCTCTCTTTTCATCGACAACAAGCTTTACGGTCGCAAGATGATGCAACAAGTTGGCTTCCTGATGTGCTTCGTCATGTTCGTCATCCCTGCCTTCAAATACGAGTACTACACCAGCCCCGCCGGCATCAAGGCCTTCCAGGCCATGTACTTCATCAGCTCGTTCTTCAACCAGTTCGGACCCAACTCCGTCACCTTCCTGGTGGCTGGTGAGGTGTTCCCCACCCCCATCCGTGCCAGTGCTCACGGTTTCTCCGCCTGTATCGGAAAGGCCGGCGCCCTCCTCGCCTCCGTTCTGTACAACTACATTGATACTCAGACCAAGTTCTACGTCGTTCCCTGGTTCGGTCTGGCCGGTATGCTTCTCACCTGGCTCTTCCTTCCCGACACCACTGGCCTCGATCTCAAGGAGCAGGAGCGCCGTTGGACCTACATCCGCAGCGGCAGGGAGTCTGAGTACCACGGCGTTGCCGTCCACCCGGAGCATCTCAGTCTGTGGGAGCGCATTCGCGGTGTTGGCAAGTACTACGACGCTGAGAAGGACCACAAGGCCCAGATCGAGGATATGCGCAAGGAGTGGGAGGACAGACAGGCGGAGCAAGGCGAGAAGGAGCCTGAGGTCTGGGAGGACCACGACCTGTTCTCCGAAGAGATTCACGGATACTTCAAGGGCCAGCACAAGGGCAAGGAATCTACTGGAGGCATCATGGCCAACGACGTCGAGGCCTCAGAATCATCGTCCGCGAGAGAAAAGGAGACCGGTGATGAGATCCAGTCAACCCCGACTGTGGAAGAGACGCGCGATTCACACCTGAACGAGAAGCAAGGTTAATGGGAAGAAGGAGCAGTGCATAATTAGGAGTATAAAAATGGGCTTGGAGTTTTATAGGCGGCTTCTTGGCATCAAAATGGGTTTTGGGTAGAAGCATAACATACCTAGCATGGCGTATAAGACGCCTGAATATCTATGACTTATTATGATCACACAAATAATTGGTCCCCTCAGACCTTGGTTTGCTGAATGTTGTGAGAATCCCAGTGGCACCGGCACAACGAAAAGTACCGCGGGGTTTTCTCACCTTCACGTTCCCAGACTACATGGACGACTTGACGCATGCATACCATCACATACGACCATACCCACTGGAGAACTCGGGATCCCGTCCGCTCTCCCATAGATAAGCCAGTGAGGGCTGGAGTAGTAGTCAGGTCGGTGACGACTGGCGAATGCCCGGTGTTGTATGTTTTTTTGATAATATCAGCTTTTTCGCGGTCGTGGTTGAAGCTTGGCAGGCGACGATGTCAACGTTAGAGTTCATGCAATGTAGCCTTACCAAATGTGGTAGCTAAGCTTTTAGTCTGGCGGTGGGTAAATAGCGGTGGATTGATTGTACTATTTTCAGGGAAAGTGTATGTTGTTTAACGTCTGTGGTGCCTATTGAGTTCAGGAAGCTAGAGTCCATCTATTCTACTAAGCAATATGATAAGAGACGAAACAGCATTTGCCTACTTAAGTAAGTAAATTGAACTAAGATGAAGAGATTTTATGTTCCTCATAATATAGTGATTGTTTTGTCCTATCATCGTAGCTGCGAGAGATATTAATGTAATACCCTGAGTATATTGACATGTTCGTTACTTTTAAGAAGATATTAGAAAATTTGCTCACGGACGAAACAAGCTATCTTCAGTCTTTTTTCTCGGGACTTTGTTCTTTCTCCTCCGCCGTTGCGCGGAGAGAAACGACATTCGCTCTCTCCAGCCGTTCATACTGTGATCGCCACGACCTGGCACCCAGGGGTCTTTCTGGTCCACTGTGGTCACCCAGCTAAGCTTTTGCTCCTGCGCTGCCATGTAGCTGGTTGCGTGTCGTTCCGTCGACTTGAATGTACGGGAAACCCATGCTCTGACTAGATCCCACTTGTAGCCGTACATGAACGCCAGCCCTATGACCCCAAATGTGACAGGCAGGGCTGTGGACCAGAAGATCCTCTGGTCATACTTCGTGTCCCTGACATCGGTCGTGTTCATGCCGAAGAAGCTTGTCACGAATGACCTGGAGGGCATAGTCAGCTTCTAGGGTTACAGGTTGAAAGACACAGGCATGGCTTACAATGGCAGGAAAAACAACGTCACGATGGTGAAAACCCGAATCGCCCTCCCGTGACCCTCGTCAAGTATCTCGATCCTCTGCTTCGTATCATCCCTCAGGGCCCGGGTTCTCTTTCGCAGGATCCAGAGGGCTCTTTCGCGCTCAGCTAGCCGCCTTTGCTGCCTATGGACACTTTTGCTCTCGAGTCTGAACATTGACTTTCTCTCTCGGTAATAAAACCAATCGGTGGTCGGGCATTTGAAAGTCAGGGGGGAGAAGAGCTTCTGATGGGCCCTCCAGAGCTCTTGCTGCGAATCAACCACCATCTGAAGAGCTTCCAACTCCTCCTCGAGGGCGTGGATCTGCACGAATGCATTTCTCTTGGGTCTTCTGTTGGTTTCGAACCGAAGTCTGGCCGCGCGGTTCCTGTAATGGTTGATGAGGTCGAATCGCTTGTCGGTCCCACGGATAAGCATGTTGTTCTGCAGGTTGCTGATCAGCGACATCGCAAGGAATTCAGGCCCAATGGGTGCTATGACGATTCTCTCCACGTCGCGCTTGCTGGTGCCTAACAACATTATGTCCTCTTTGGCGCGGTTTAGAAGACCCCGGGTCTGTTCCGAGATAGCGTCGCCGGTTCTCCTGAGTTGATCCAAACGTCGTTGGGCATGTCGGCCGTATGTTGGGTCGGACTTGAGGGCGAATCTGTTCAGCCAGGACAACTCTTTGGCCTTCAGCACAAATAGGCTGACGATGCGTTCAAAGGCCTCGACCAGGCTGCTGGGGAGATGGGGTCTGTTGCCGTTTTGATTGAGCAGGTCGTCCGAGCCAGCCACGCTCGTGACCATCTTGTGCAGTTCCTCTGCCCTCTCGACCAAGTCCTGCATGTCGGATAGAAAGACCAGACTGCTTGCAAACGCTGAGCTCCTGAGCCCTGTAATGCTCGGGCGGTCGTTGGTATCGAGGACTATTTGGTAGATCCGGACGAAACAAGGGTCGTCGAAGGGCCTGCCTTGTTTGGCTCGTTGGGGGCATGCGCTGTTGGCATGGTGTTCGTGCCAGTGGTCGAGGGCGTCGTCTGGTGACTGGTACCCTTTTTCATTGTCGCATTGCTGGCATCGAGAAAGTGCCGTCGCGTCTTTCTCGTAGGATGAGTCCTCGAGCGGGCAAGGGGCAGAGCTCGGTTTCAACACAAACCAAGGCTGGTCTTCTTGTTAATAGGACATATCAATCGCCCAACGGAGCCCCTATGTAACGTTAGTAAAGAAATTGATGTGTGAAAGAGTGCGTCTTGCCCTCAAGATCGAGTCGACCGAGCCCCAGAAGCGTCTATACAACGGATGTGAAACGATTCCTCCATCGTGAGGCAGGAATGCGGACAGTATATTTCGAGAGACGCGGATTAGTTCTGAAAAATTAGAATCGTTGATTTCTAGGCTCCGCTTTCTGGTTCGCAAAGGGTCTCCATGGAGGCGAAAGCTATCGGCTGACACCTCAGATTGTGGCTGGCCGGAGCTGCTGCCGTCGTCAAGTGACGCCGACTTCGAATGTCCAAGATCATTGAGGCTCTCTCTTTTCGAAGAATCATGCCGTAGAATGCTGTCGAATCGCTCCATGACCTCGATCTCGCTGCACTGGAATGACGCCTTATACCACTTCCCAAACTTGTCCCTCTCAAGGGAAATGTTCAGATTGTCTAGCAACTGCGAGAGTGTTTTCTCAATCTCCGATCGGGATCTCTTGTCGTCGCTCCATGTCAATCTCCAAGCGAAGAACGGAACGAAGCCCACCTCGGCAAAGTCCAGGGGCGGCAGCCGTGTAAAGGATTGATCGGCCGAGTATGTGCCGCCAACGGATCCTGCTCTGGGTTTTCTTCCAGATTGCGCGTAGTTTGAGCTTGTTTCGAAATATGTGCGTCGGTCATACCAACTAGAACAGTATTCTGGATCTAGAGGAGAATCCCGGGCGTACCTGAAGGATGAGCCCCGGGACGAGTTTCGCTGTCGTTCGCGCCGTGGTCCATTCACGTAAGGGTGCGTTGCTGGATATGATGCTTCGGTTCCAAACGATATGGACCGGGTCATTCTTCGAAATGGCATCGTAAACCTAGTCTCCTCCACGTGGTTGGAGACCATATCTTCCCGCTGAGAAACGGAGCTTCTCCTCTTCGTGCCAGGCGATCAGTCAGCGACTTTGTCAAAAATTCGCTGCCTCAGACAGTTCCAACTTACCGTTTCGTGTTGCTGTAGATCGACATCCACTTGCTTGTCAAGCCTAAAGAGTTCAGGCACTTCAGCATACCCAGCATTTTCCCGAAACCCGGGGGTGCTGGCTTGTCTGGTGCCGGAGCTAAGTTCTGAGAATGACATCGTCAGGTCAATTGTATCATCAAGTGACAAATCTTCGTCGCCCAAGTGAGATTCAAAGAACAATGTGTCGTCGTCGTCGTCGTCGTTGTGGTGGTTGTGTTTGTCAGTTTCGGTACTGCCACCTGAAAGGCTCGGCGAGTCGGCACGATACCTACGCATCCCGGGATGCAAAACCATTGCCGTGTTCAAGTCAGATCCTCTGAATTCTGATTGGAAGGAGCTGTCCAAGTTTCATCAATTTCGAGATTTCAAAACCATTTCAAAGTGGCCTCACCTCCGGCGCGAGTATCTGCCAAGACTACTCCGGCTGCTTGTGGCGAGAAGCTTCGCCGACAGAGCGTGATACTCTTCAGTTGGTAAGCCCTTTTCCGTGTTTCTCTCTCGCAGGCCAAACACATGTTCTTCGATGATACCATCGGAAAGCAAGTTGAGCCATATATCTGTGGTAACCAAAAGACCAAATTCGTTGACTAGCACATAGGCCGTCACATTCGATCGCTTATGACCCTTAGAAGCCAGTGCCACGGCATGTTTCATAAAATCCTGCGACAATCAGCAACACCACCAAGATTGGAATGATGAGGCAACCTGCGACTAACCACGTACTTCCAGCTTGGAGTTATGACCACATGGTAACGGCACATATCTTTCTCGTCGATGAGCCTGATTGTGAATGTTCTTTCTGATGATAATGTCGTATCAATTGAGATAAGATTTTGCTGCATTTCTGACGAAGCCAATCCAGAGTAAGTGATGATCAAGTCTGAAAGATTGAAGGGTGGTTAGGAGAATTCGTGGACTGTCTTCAACCAGCGGGTGGTGTCATACCAGAACCCAGCACTAAAGTCCAAACCTGCGACGCTTGTACCGACAAAGACTTGGAACCGCCCACGTCGACATTTTGGGCACCTTGGCTGGTATAATGTGTTGTCTCATCGTCATAACCATATAGCACTTCACGGAGGGTTCTCTTGTAGTGATTCCCTCGCTGCCTTTTGCCGGCAGGTTTGTCCTCCAGGATAAGGTACTGTGTAGAGATGAAGGTGACGGGCTCAGTATCGGACATATCCTCGTCTGGATATCTCCCGAGACTGCTGTTGAATCTACCGATGTATTGAATCATTGAGCCAGACTCAATGTAAGTCCCCGACTCAGAAGGTCTTTCGCATCTCGCCATGACTTCTTTGAGGACTGTCAGTGCAACCAATCTCAGGGATGGCATCAAGAACGGACAATCTGTTACTAGCGCCTGTCTTTGTTAGTCAGAGTTCATGGTAGACTTGGCCGTCAGAGTGATTGATCATGGATACCTCCAAAGTTGCAATATTCAACGATTGGGCCTGGACGTGACTAACGGTTGTCAGCTTCGAGGCCATTTCCGTAGACATAGTCTAGTACTCACAGCCATCTCATGCGAATCAGAGACGGGTCACCCATTCCATACCCGTCATCTCTCGGACAGACAAGTGTCACCCTTTGATTTCCAGAGCTATCCATGTAGAACTCTGCAGCATGCGCTGCATATAGTTGCGTGACCGCACCACTCATAATGAGATCAGACCTCTCCAGCTTCCAAGCCGCCAGTCTCCCAGAGGTGGGATCTGCGGCATTATCCGTAAAGTACTTGGTATTGTCCAGTGGAAGGATTCCAGAGTGAACTACTGGGCCGTCGATGTTGCCTAGCTCGTCTCCTTCTGACACTGATTCCAAATCATCGTCTTGTTCTTCCTCGTTGCCGGAGTGGGCTGGCGACTCTGCGACTGGAGCGTCCACACTGATCCAATCGAAGCCTCGACTCTTACTTTGATGTTTTGGTTTCCACGCATCACCATATTCCGAAGTTCCTTGGCCAGAGTTTCGGATGCTCTCGCTTAATCTGAGAAGGCCATCGATAAGATTTGGTCCTAGTGCTAACTGCACAATGATTGTGTCGCCATCTTCGGCAAAAGGATAGCCGAGCTCGAGGAGCGCGCGCTTTGAAACGATCCTAGCAGGAATCCGGGTCGTGCCTTTTTCAGGTCGGGAGCCCCGGTGGAAAGAGCTCACACTGGGCGTAGGCGAAGAGGATCGTGAGTCTGGCCAATCTTCGAACCCATCCTCTTCGAAGCGGATCTGCTTTGGCTTCGATGTCATGGTAGTCTGTGACCTCGAGGGCCAACTAAGAGCAATTGCGCTGAGATGCAATTTGAAGGGCTTTCAGAACATTGGTGGTCACATCCCTCGGCTCAATTGAGAGATTTTATCACAGATCGATTGGCGGTAACCCGTCATCTCTTCCGAGCCTTGTGCTTACATGTCTGTCATTCGGAGCTAAACCTAGCTGGAGGTCAGCCCTACAAGGATTCGGTGCATCATGACGCAGCTTACGCTGCATATATGTAGCCCCAAGTCTGATGGACTCAGCTCAAGCCGATTAGAACACACGATGAACCAGGCATACCTCGATTGTATCTGCATGAATGCCTCTGGTTTCTGAGGTGGGAACCTGGCTGGACACAATCTATGAGATTATCGTCATCCTCCATTTAACCAGTGGCTTTACAATGCGAGACGACTCATATAGTCAATTTTGAAGAAAGTAAAACGGTGCTCAGAGAGTACGCGTCTTCTCTTTGTGAGTTTCATTTTTTGATACCGCCTAATACTGGCGAAATAAACAGGGAGAATTGCGGTGATCTGTGTTTGTCAAGTTATGATTTATCAAGTCCCACGGTGAAGCCGGGCGAGCCACAAATGTTGTCAAAATCGCACCGCCTCCCAGACCGTCAATTCAAAGTCTGTTAGACAGGCCCGCTGAGTTGAAACGAGAACCATTATGGATTTGCGACCTTGACATATAGATTCTGCCTGAGAATTTAGCCGACCTCAAATTCGGCTTTTCTGACTTTCCGGCAAACGCCAAACCTCCAAAAGCACGTTCTTTGAGTCCCTCCGAGGATTCTGGTCTCCGTTGAACATCAAGACGTCAAGCTGCTTCAGTTTGCCATGTTTCCACGCCGTATTGGGAAGGGGCCGAGTGGTCTCTCTTCTAGAGCAACTTCCTTCCCAACGCACGACTTCTTTAGGGGGATCACGAATAGCACCTCTCGCACTTAGACCCAAGCCATTGAGGACTTGGCCATCCGCGAAAGCGATTTGAACGCGCCAGGTCTGCCCAGAGGAGCCCCGTGTTCTGCCTTCCACGGGCTTCATGCTGGCTGACTACAATGACTTCCCCGAAGAAGATGGGCTTCACTGGGATTTGGCGAGGCAGAAACAGTTTGGTTGGTTCGAGATCCAACGTTCCACGTCTTGTCGAGTTACACATACTTTACAGGGTTCTAATGCTGTGTTATAGAGACCGCAATTATGTCGCTCTGAAAGCATTCCCCAAACTTTGGCCTTCAGAGCCGACGATCTATCGTTATAAGCAGATGGCGCCCCTCATTGCCAAAGCTGACCATCCTGGGGGAACAGAGGATAAGGGGAATGCTGAATAGCTTCACCGTTGGGGAAAAGTCGACTTTCTTGTTATTTCTCCGGTGCAGATGTCATTTGGCGACCTTCTGCTTCTGAATGTGGTGGCATCTGGGCGCGGGTTCGCCGAAGACTTTGTTAAGGCAGCGACAAGAGAGCTTCTTTTGGCCGTGGACTTTCTACACACTGAAGTTGACATCATACACACCCGTGGGTTGCTGTCTGAGTCTTTAGAAGGGATTCCACGCTAATTACCTCAGAAATTCATGCAATTAACTTATTCTTTGGAGTAGACGAACGCAGTAGAAACTTCCTCGAAGAGCTCGCAGAGGCAGAGTTCGCCCAACCAAGCTCACGAAGAATCATTACTCCCGAATATACTGTCTTCGCCTCCACGATCATGGATCCAAGGGAGGGACCGCTATTACTTTCAAGCTTCAGCCTTGCAAGATGTGGAGACAGGCAGCTGGGGACTATGAGATGCTCGAAATCTGCAGCCCGGAGGTCTTGTTGCGCACCGAATGGAGCTTCATCTGATGTCTACAGGCATGGAAGCCTTTTTAACATTGGCAATTTGTTCACACCGCAGTACTGGCATGATTTGGACTCTGATGCTACGTATCTAGCTCAGCTGATTGCCGCCTAATTCCAGATCAAACGTTAGAAAGCCTTATGAGACAGGCTTTACAGGACAGTTCCGGTTTCTTGAAGTTTCTTCTAAGAACTCTTACGCGGGTCCCAGAAGAGAGGGCCTCTGAGAGAGATCTTCTTGGAGAGACCCTTGGCTGCAAGGAGCATGTTCCCTGGCGTAGAGCTGCCAGACTCGAACGCATAGAAGAGCAGAGAGAGAAAAACTCATACACTCCTATCGACTGATAGTTTATTAATTTCCCGATAAATTGTTGTTCGCTAAAAAAGAAAAAAAAGAAAAAAAAACAGGACAAGGGCAGACTTGAAGAAACCAACGTCAGCTTATGGCTGGGTATTTTGCAAAACCTTGATCGAAACTCGAATTTAGTGTGACTGAGCCATATCTAGCAGGTTACTAACCTGATATCTTTCTCATCAGATTCTGAAATGACGGAGCCACGGTCGGTTCACCCATACACGAATGAAACTTGCCCGGATACGACCGCTGCATAATAAGCTCACGTCACGGTGTTTATCGCCCGGGGCCTCTCGGGCATCATAATGTACCTACCTCAGAAACACCTCAATACATCAGCTGCACTATCCAACGACAGAGTCGATTGCATGTGTGATGATATCCCCATACTGCCGAAGCCGCGCGGGTAGATGCGCGAAAAAACCCACGAGACCCGAGCACTGGCACCTGGGTTTGAGGAAGCTTAGTAATTCACATCAAGCCACCTAGAACGCCTGAGAAACCGGGAGACTTGGAGCAATGAGGCTGTTACTGGAGCCACATGTAGCGTCGATCTGAGGCGAATCAACTACTGACCTGAATCGCCTTTCAATCAATCGAACGAAGAGTAACTGGGAAGAAACACTCAGGCTTACCAGGGTTGTTGAGTGGTGACGGCTCTACACTGTATGCAATGCCCCCGTTGCAGGAAGTGGGGTGTTTTTGGAGGGGTACCTAAGACTGCACCGGAAGCTCCGCAGAGCTTCCGAAGCTTCACTCAACACCTCATCTAACAAACAATCTGCTTGGTAATAAAGAACACATCCTCTCGACGCGCTTGATTCACGTAGACATACCTAACACGATTGCAGCGCATAACAGTATCATCATGTTCACGGGCATTGTTGAAGAGATCGGAGGTCTGAATCCATCCCCTCACTTGTTGACTCACATATTCTCATCCCTCGACTCCCTCAGTCAACTAACACGCACCCAGTCGTCTCCGAGCTGAACCCGAACGATGAGACGGGCGGCACCTCTCTCAAAATCTCCCTACCGGAGACCTCCAATCTCCTCGCAGACTGCAACCTCGGCGACTCCATCGCCATCAATGGCGTCTGCCTGACGGTGACTCAGTTCGAGACCTCTCCGCCCTACTTCAAGGTCGGCGTCGCCCCCGAGACCCTCCGCATCACCAACCTGGGTTCTCTGGCGAAGGATTCGCGCGTCAACCTCGAGCGAGCCGTCCGCGCCGACACCCGCATGGGCGGCCACTTCGTCCAGGGACACGTCGACACCACCGCCACCATCCTGGCCGTCACGCCGGACGGTAACGCCTTGACTTTCCGCTTTGGACCACGTGATGCGGCTGTGTTGCGCTACATTGTCTACAAGGGCTATGTTGCGCTTGACGGGACCAGCTTGACAGTTACCAAGGTGAACGACGAGGAGGGTTGGTGGGAGGTTATGCTCATTAGCTACACCCAGGAGAAGGTTGTCGTCGCTGGCAAGAAGCCGGGCGACACAGTCAACGTCGAGGTCGACATGATGGCCAAGTACGCTGAGAAGAGCTTGGCGGGCTTCCTGAGCGGATCCGGAGGTGTCCCCCTCGAAAAGATGGTGGAACGTATCGTCGCTGCGGGACTGGGTGGAAAGTCTTGAGTGCTGATGTTTTGGTTCAGAAATACGTCTTGCTTCTATTTTCTTGCTTCTGAGAGCTAGCCATACAATAGCCATGACCCAACATGCTTGATTTGTACAATGCTTGCGCAGTAAACTCCATCTACTACTTCTTGAATGGCTTCATGCATCGCCCCAAACTTCTGCGAGTCGTTGGCTGACGGCTTTGGGTATTTTCTTCCGACCCACGAGGTTGGGCAATCCACTTATGACCATTTCCCGCTTTCTCTTGGTCCCCTGCTCGCCCGAGCCACACTCTTCAAACGCCTTTATCAAATCATGAGGTGTCTTCCACTTCTTCTGAATCTCTAGTGCCTTCTCCCCTGTAATGCCCCTTGTCGTCATGAGCATCTTAAGATATATGTCTCGTAATGTCATCATGTCGGACTTTGACGCGAGAGATGCGAATGCCGGGTACGTGATGTAGTAACCGGTCGATGGTTCTTTCTCACGAAGGTGCTGGAGCAGCGGGAGGTAGTTCTGCGCGGTCAAGACCGTGGTGGGGATCACCAACAGGGGCTTTCGCTCATACATCTTCTTGAGCATGAATGTCATCCGCGTCAGATAGCGGATGGTGTCGTCCATCTTCTGCGTTTTCTTAAGAAAGTAGCCATTTACCACCTGGGTCGACGCTATTGAGGACTGAATCATCTCCTCGACCTTTTGAAAGTAACTAGAATCCATGGAAATCTCTTCGATGATGTAGATGACGTTTTTGACGCCGGACTTTCGCAAGCGAAATTTCTGTTCGTGGAAACGGCCGTCTTTGACGCTGCCGACCAAGTCGTCGAGCCGCTTGCGCTCAACAATCCAATCAAGGACAACTTCGTCTCCTTCTGCGCCATGGCGGGACAGGGCAGCCGGATCGTGACATTTTGCAATCCACTGGGCATCGCCAATTTCCAAAGCCCGCACCAGAGGCTTGACGCCCTTCTTGGTCAATTCTTCTTGCATATAGTCGCGGTCCTTCAGTGCTCGGACTTCGCGATTGTCCAGTGCTAAGTGAACTGTAAACGAGCCTGGGAGCAACCGGATTGGGGTGAATTTGGGCAGTGCCGCATTGTCTGCAACGCCTGGGCCATTCGAAACGACCCCTTCATATTGTGATGAAGGCTTAGGCTGCTCAATCGGTTCAACAGAGGCAGAAGCCTCTCTCCCAATCTGGTTGAACACCGAATCCGGCCTGACGGATTCCGTGCGGGTGCTTGGTCCAGCAGCGATGTCATCTGCTTGCTCGCCCTCTGTTGTTTTCTTAATCCGCCTGGCAACATCCCAGCCATCGTCTGTAAGGGAGTAGCGTCTCTGCGGGCGGCCTTTTTCGCACACCAGGTCCTTGTCAATCAATGTCTTCATCGAGTTCCAGGCCGTGTAGAACTTGGTAGGATCACTCGGCGCGGTAAATGACGAATCGCAGTTTTCTTGGGCAAGTTCAATCAACTTCGTCTTGGTCATGCCGAGGGAGGCATCTTCGTCCAGGGTAGCGAGGGCCAGGATGAGAGCGTAGGGGCCTGAACGATATGTTGGGACGTATGGCTTGGCCTTACGTGCCTTCTTTGGTGGAGGAGCGGGCTCATCTTCTTCAGCGGCAGCGCCAAGGGATGCGCGGTCTTCCTTAGATGACCGAGGATTCTTGGGCATGGGTAGGCCGTTGGCTTCGCAGTGCTCCTTCAATTTGTCCGTAAGGCGAGACGACAGCTTGTCCCCAAAGCCTTTGAGCTGGACCAGCTGGCGTGGATGCTTGAAAGTGATGGGGCATGCCTTCAACGACTCGTAGGCATTCCTATAGGTTGTGACGCTCTTCATGCCTCGCTCTCTGGCGGTATCCAGCCACTCCTTGACCCAGTCAAGGAGCAGGGGGTTCGCATATTGCTCATGTTCGCCAGCCATGATGCTGACGTGATGGAGGAGTGCTGAGTCGTTCCAAACGGGCCATCACCAAGGGCTAAGTTTCATCTGCAGCGTTGCCTGCATCATCTCTCGGTGCGAGAAATGCGAGAGGTTGTCCGGATGCAAACAAGGCCGGGAAGGAGAAGATGCAAAGGAAAAGGGCCAAAGCCAGAAGGAAGTGCCGTGACGCGCTGACGCGAAGACTTGTTCGGGGCTAATGGATCGCGTTCACGAAGACACGTGACTCGTATTAGATCTCTGCACGGACTACTGCCGGCTGATCTGAGTCCTTAGAAGGAGGGGCTTCCAGAGGAGGGGCTCTCAGGTCTGACAACCCCACTCCTTCCATTGTGGCACTGTGGTTGCGGTGTGTTGTGGTTGGTACTGGTGCCGCATCCATCTGACTTGCATGATTCCAGGTTGATTGCATCAGGGCGGGCAGGCAGTGTCAGCTGGCTGGCGAAGCCTGTCTACGTTGGCGCCCACCAGGTAGCCTACCTATCCCGTACCTACCTATCCCGTACCTTCCTACCTCAGGTAAGGTAGGTGGGTAGGTAGGCAGGCATCCGTAGCTTACCTGCCTACCTACTACGTGCCTACCTACCTTACCTGAGGTAGGTACCTAGGTAATGGCGGGGAGCTTTGTTGAAGCCACCCACTGTTGAGGTGAGGTGAGGAAGCGTGGGGAGAAGGGGGGCGTGGAGTGGCAGCCCAGGTGCAGCCCAGGTCTCAAGGAGAGAAAACACTGGAATGGCGGCGGCCTCCACGTCACTAGCAACCCGTCACCGTCGCTGCTATTGTCGTCGTCGCCGTCGTCGTCCTTGATCGTCGCCCTCTTCCCCCACTGTTCTCCGTCAACGCCCCTGGTGTATTCTTCCCCTGCTTTAATTCACTCTTTACGTCCCCAATCGCTCCTCCGCTGTCACGTCGCCGTCGCCGTCGTCAATCGTCACTTCTAAACAATCACCACCACCATCACCACCACCCGCCATGGATGAGAAGATTATTGCCGCTTCGCAGAAGCACCCCATCGTCCCAAACCATACCTTCAAGTATGGCACTGCGGGATTCCGGATGAAGGCTGATCTTTTGGATGGAGTCACCTTCCGCGTCGGCCTCCTTTCCGGCCTCCGCAGCCGTAAGCTTAACGGTCAGACCATTGGTGTCATGATTACGGCCAGCCACAACCCTGCCGCTGACAATGGTGTCAAAATTGTTGACCCTATGGGTGATATGCTTGAGCAGGAGTGGGAGTCGTACGCTACCAAGCTTGTGAACAGCTCCTCTGACCAGGAGCTTGTCGAGAACTACAAAGCCCTGGCTTCCCAGCTGCGCATCGACCTCTCTTCTCCCGCCCGCGTTGTCTATGGTCGAGACACCCGCCCTTCGGGCCACAAGCTCGTCGCTGCCCTTGCCGACTCTTTCGAGGCCACCAACACCGAATACACCGACTACAAGATCCTCACCACTCCCCAGCTCCACTACCTCACCCGCTGCGTCAACACCGAGGGCACTCCTCAGTCCTACGGCGAGGTCAGCGAGCTTGGCTACTACAAGAAGTTTGCCGATGCTTTCGTCAAGGCCTTGAAGGGCCGCAAGGTTGACGGCCAGCTGACGGTTGACTGCTCCAACGGCGTCGGTGGTCCCAAGCTGGTCGAGTTCCTCAAGCACGTTCCCAAGGATGTCACTGGTTTTGACGTCAAGGTCGTCAACGATGACGTCCTCCGTCCTGAGGTTCTCAACCTCGACGTAAGTCCATGTATACCCAAATCATCACAATGGCATAGACTGACAGTTCTAGTGCGGAGCAGACTTTGTCAAGACCAAGCAACGCGCACCCGCTTCTCCCAAGCCCGTCCCGGGTGCTCGCTACTGCTCCTTCGATGGCGATGCCGACCGCCTGATCTACTACTACACCGACCCCGATACCGGTTTCTTCATGCTGGACGGCGACCGTATTTCGACTCTGGCTGCTTCTTTCATCGGCGATCTCGTCCGATCTGCTGGTCTGGAAAATGACCTTCGTATCGGCGTTGTTCAGACGGCCTATGCAAACGGTGCTAGCACCAACTACATTGAGAAGCATCTCGGATTGCCCGTCGTGTGCACACCTACCGGCGTCAAGCACTTGCACCACGCTGCTCTCAAGTTCGATATTGGCCCTTATTTCGAGGCCAACGGCCACGGCACTGTGCTTTTTAGCCAGGATGCCATGCGGGCTTTCCGTGAGACTAAGCCTCAGTCTCCTGCTCAGAAGGACGCTCTCGACACTCTTGCCGCTGTTGGCGATCTCATCAACCAAACCGTGGGCGATGCGCTCTCTGATATGTTGATGGTCGAGGTGATCCTTGCCCATAAGGGCTGGACTCTCAAGGACTGGGCTTCCACCTACTCGGATCTCCCCAACCGCCTCGTTCGCGTCGAGGTTGCCAACAAGGACGCCTTCCAGACGACCGACGCTGAGCGCCGCCTCAGCCATCCCGCAGGTGCCCAGGACGAGATCGATCAGTGTGTCAGAAAGTACACCAGCGCTCGTTCTTTTGCTCGTGCCAGTGGTACAGAGAACGCTTGCCGCGTGTACGCAGAGGCGGCCACTCGATCCGAGGCTGACGAACTTGCCAACAAGGTTGCGGGTATTGTGAAGCAGTACGGTGGCTTGTAGGCAGGGTATCCCAAACTGCTGAACGATAAACGACGACATATCAGTTATAGCGATGAATAAGATGACAAATGTATTTCTTTCAAGATGGGAAAAAGTTGGCGTGGTTTATTTGGACGTTAGAATCGGCAGGGCTAAATAAAAAAAAAAGTACGAAATTCACGTGAGATTTTCCTGGGTGACTCCCCTGGCGGCTTTGCAAACATCGGCGTCCTAGTCCCCGTCGTCGTCGCCATCGCTGTTGTCGCTGGTGATGTTATCCGTCGTCCCTCGTCGTCGTCCCTCGTCGTCGTCGCCTGTAGCCCTTGTTGACGTCCCTAATATTGTCGCTGTGCCTATCATTCGACCTTATTCTTTGCATTTCTTGCTGGCCAGACTCTCTCCTCCATGATGCTGGAGCTGCTGCAATGAACGTGACATCCCTCGACAGTCGGTTGAAAGCGTGATCTGCAGTCGTGTTGGGGACTCCCCTGTCGCTCAGATTGTTCCAAGCCGGGTCTGACAAGAGCTTCTCTGCGGCCCGTCCGAAAGAAGAGTGTGGGTGGTTTGTGTGTGGGTGTGGGTGGGTGTGTTTCCGACCCCTGAATCAGATCAGGTCGATCTCGGAGCTGAGGACGACCATGTGCAACTTTGGTAAGGCTTCCAGAAGCTCTCTAGCATTCTTCTCCTCTCCTTTCCCGGCAACAATGGGCTAACACACGCGCCGGAATTTCAGTTCACGGATTTGAACGAATCTTCTCATGCAAAGCGGGCATTGAGAGTTCACACACTTAGCATGTAGGCAAGGTGGTATTGGCGGCGTGGTTCAAGTCGTCAATTCTTCTGTATCATACAGGTCCTCTCTGCTCACCAACTCTTCTTGACGCTTGTCCCTCGTCCATCTCTTCCCCTACCCGTCCTTCTCTTGAATACATGCCCCTCAATACTTTTTGCGCTTTATACAATCTTACCCACGGAAGCAAGCCAGGAGCCCATACAGAGGCCGGACTGCCAAATAGCCAACAGGGAAGAAACAAAAACTAGATAATACATTACGCAAACACTTTGGTGCTTGTCCGCCCAGTAAACATATGAGGTATAAAGAATCTGCAGTCTGGCAGATGGGTTAAAAAAAATCATGTACTGTAGTTGTTCGGCCGTCAAGGGTAGGTGGTGGTCGAGGCACAGGGAAGAACCAGTTGTTGGCTCACCAGTTCGCTGTGTCGCCCCTTCCCGGAGATGGATGATGTTCTCATGTGCAGAGACATAAATCCAAGTATTAAAAAATGAATCGCATGCGCCCTTCGCTTTCCCAATGCATGGTTTGCTGGCTTTAATAGACCGGCGCCGCCACCAATGCGGTGGTCTGTACTTCAAAAAATGACAATTGTATGTGCTGACTGTTGGCGAAGGCGTCCGTAGTTGAGGGGCTGACCTGGCCCAGGTGCTCAGTCTGAAACGGGGCGCGCCGCATGCTGGTGACGGGTATACGAGGCTGTGTTATGCCGTGGCACAAACCCCTATTCGAGCAGGCGAACTCCGTCGTTTAAAGTGTTCAAGCGTTGCCGCTGAGAGACTTGAAGCGATCTTCGAAAGACTTCAGTTTCTCCTTCTCCAATTCTTGCTGGATGCGTCTGGTCTCGCGCCTCGCGGCCTCACGCTCTTCTTGTAAGGTCAGTACCTCGATTTGCGCCGTACTCATCCGGGCTATGACGTCCTGCATCTCAGAATCGGCATTCGTCAACGCCGTCTCCAGCTCCACAACCTTGACGCGCAGCCTTTCAATCTGGGTCTCGTCTTCGACGGATTGCTTAGGCATGGAGCGTGGCGACCGGGGGAAGAGAGGGGAGGGCAGAGGGCTCAAGCCGGACTTGCGAGAAGTTCGTAGGCCGTTGCCGGCAGGCGAAGGGCTCATACGACGAAGCTGAGCGTTTTGCGCATCCTTCAACTCTCTGAGCTGTTCCTCATGTCGAGTGACACGTTCTTCGGACGCAGTCTGAGCAGCTTGCAGTTGCTCTTCAAGGTTCTTGAGGCGGCTTTGGAGGCGTGTGATGCGGTCTGCGTTAGCCTTGCGGTCCGCATCTCCACGAGCCACTGCCTCTGCCAGACGATGGCGGAGCTCTGAGTTCAGAGACAATTGCTTCTGGACTTGGGTAGCGAGCTCCTCTACCCGTTGAGCGGAGACGCGAAGCTCATCCGCAAGTGCGCGCTCGCTCTCGAGATGGGCCACTTCGCTGCTGGCGAGGCTTTCCAATTGATCCTTGTATGCGGAAGCTTCATCCTTTGCAGCATCGCGTTCGAAAACTGCCGAAGAAAGGGACTGCTCAAGCCTCTGAATGGCGAGCTGAGTCGACTCGTCTTG